ACCATATAGGAGTTTTGAGAGTCTTTGTTCATTCATGGTCTTGTTTTAAAGGGTTCTTGTTTTCTTTTGTTTATTTTCCTTTTGTTAGGTAGCACACTTCTCATCTCTATTCTTTATTGTTATCTAGTTGATTTTAGCCTTGGAGTTATATGACTAATTTTTGTCCTTTGCTTATTATAGATTGCCTATTCATACTATGTACTTAGTATGAATATCTCTTTTATACCATGATTTTATACTTTCTTGTTACTATTGTGATTTGGCACTTTGTGACCAAAAGGGGGATAAGTTTTGGAGTTAATAGGGGGTGAAATTTTATTGCCTAGTTAGGTTTAGTTGCATAAGCATATACTAAGAGTGAGTTTGTTAACATACTTAGGGGGGAGTACATTTATAAACCTGACATGAAGTCACATTATTTTCTTTGTTCATTTTTCACTTGTTATTTAGTTTATGAACACCAACCAAAAGGGAGAACTTTGTGTGTATTGTCTTTGATAAACCTAAGGTTTTCAAGCATAATTGGTTAGCATTGATTACATAATGCATATTTTCATGTGCACGATGTGAACATGAAAATTCCCTATGCTTTTGTTGATGATTTCCATAGATGTGATTATGTTGTGCCTTTCTTATATATGATGCTTTTCAGGAGGTATTAGTTGAGTTGTGGTGTGTAAGACTATGATCTTCAAAGCCTTCAGCAAGAAGATAGATTTTGTACTTAGTTTTTTGAGACTTGTATAAGAGTATTGAGATTAGTTTGCAATTCATTTTGCTCTCAGTGGTTTTTGAGTTGTAACCTTAAATTTATTACTCTTGTATTTTTTTCATTAAATTTTTAAAGGGGGAGATCATTAGGATCATGTTAGTAATTGACTAATTTTGTGAATTTGTATGTAATCTCGACCTAATTCAATGGTCATCAAGCTTCAAAGATCAAGATCTATAAGCGAAATGGAAGGTAAAGATAGCAAGCTATAATGTTATATCAAGACCACTCGATGCATCTTTGATTTTAGGACAAAGGTGGATAATTTCGTGAAGTCTTATGTAATCCCAACCTTATTCCATGGTCATCAAGCTTCAAAGGTTAAGATCCATAAGCATCAAGAAATGGTTGGAGATCAAGCTACAATGCTATAGCAAGACCACTCAAATGTACCTTCGAGCTGAGGATAAAAGTAATGAACTTATAAACTTATATCTCTTGGATTAATTGTAGACTTGGGATGATTAAAGTGAATAAATTTGAATTCAGATATTATCCAAAAATTACTCCTAGGGTTTTTATTGAAAACATTTTTCTAAACCTTAATATTGTTATGAAAATATAGTTTGAGTCATTTATCAGACCCTACTCGAGCAACACCCTTTAGTGTTCAAGAGGACAAAGTTTTGCTTGATTTTCTGCTTAAAAAGCACTAGGGATGGCCCTTTGCTCGCTTGTTTTCAGCTAGAGTGGTCTCTGATGACTTGGGGATAAAATCATGAAGGCTGTTAAGTTGAGTAGTAGGGAATGGCCTATAGGTCGTTCTCAAGCTTGTAAAACCAAGGTAAATTTGAATTTTATGAAAAGGGTAAAACGGTAATTAGCCATATGGTATTGTTTGAAAACCTAAATTTTTCTAGAACTCAGATTACGAAACGAACCTCACCATCGAATTCATCTCACGAAATCTAGTTATCCAGTCAATTTTTGTTGAATTTTGAGACAGTTAGATTTTTTACGTTTTACAAGGCGATCAGATGTCACGTGACCAAAATAAACAAGACCAAGAATTAAATTGAGAAAAGTGAAAATAATTTAAATTTAGTTCAAACAAAAGTATATTGAACTTGAACTGAGGTGAAATTTAATTGATTCGGGAAGAAATTGGACCCGTAAAAGGCGGACGTTTGGTGCAACGAGAGTTAAGTATTCAATGGGTATAAATAGGGGAGAAAAACAAGATTTTCTCCCCATTATCCATCAGATTTTCGTTGGAAAGCGAAGAGAGGGAAAATGAAGGGTTTCTCCAAGTTCTCTGTACGATCGACGACTCTCTATTCATCGAATCACCTCGAACTAAGAACAAAGATTGTTCTACACGACGGGACCAGCAAAACCATACCAAACAAATTGAAGGCTTTGACAAAGTCCAAAAGACAGGATTTTTGGAAATCAAAGGCTAAAGCTTGATTTGGGTTCTTGGAGGCTTTTTACCACTTGTTTTACGCTTCAAAAGGTAGGGTTCATTTCTTAATTTGGTTTATTTCTAGCCTAGGGTTGAAATATGAAATGGGTAGTGTGTTAGAGATGCAATCTCATGCATGACACATACCTATTGTAGTTGAAATGTGGGAAATGTGTATAAGAATGGTTAAAACAAATTCTAGCATGAATTGGATTTTTTGAAATTACATGTTTGTGATTTCTTGAGAAATATGATGATTTGGGCACATTATGTGTTACATGATGTTGTGTCTTGAAGGTGTTTTATTAAATGCCTATGTGGAGTAAGTGTGTTAAGTGCATTGATTATGTTATAACATGCTTGGAATTTGATGTTGGAAAATGTTGGTATATGCATTATGATATATTGACATTGAGAATTTGGAAAGGTTGAAGAGATATTGTTCATATGGTACTCATGACATATTGAACTTGATATTGAAATGCAATTGTACATCACATTTGCATATCCACAGGAAATGTAGCATTTGTGGGTATGTGACATTATTGTGGGTGTTTGCACGGTCTTGATCAAACATCACTATTGGTAGATAATGCATNAACAAGATTTTCTCCCCATTATCCATCAGATTTTCGTTGGAAAGCGAAGAGAGGGAAAATGAAGGGTTTCTCCAAGTTCTCTGTACGATCGACGACTCTCTATTCATCGAATCACCTCGAACCAAGAACAAAGATTGTTCTACACGACGGGACCAGCAAAACCATACCAAACAAATTGAAGGCTTTGACAAAGTCCAAAAGACAGGATTTTTGGAAATCAAAGGCTAAAGCTTGATTTGGGTTCTTGGAGGCTTTTTACCACTTGTTTTACGCTTCAAAAGGTAGGGTTCATTTCTTAATTTGGTTTATTTCTAGCCTAGGGTTGAAATATGAAATGGGTAGTGTGTTAGAGATGCAATCTCATGCATGACACATACCTATTGTAGTTGAAATGTGGGAAATGTGTATAAGAATGGTTAAAACAAATTCTAGCATGAATTGGATTTTTTGAAATTACATGTTTGTGATTTCTTGAGAAATATGATGATTTGGGCACATTATGTGTTACATGATGTTGTGTCTTGAAGGTGTTTTATTAAATGCCTATGTGGAGTAAGTGTGTTAAGTGCATTGATTATGTTATAACATGCTTGGAATTTGATGTTGGAAAATGTTGGTATATGCATTATGATATATTGACATTGAGAATTTGGAAAGGTTGAAGAGATATTGTTCATATGGTACTCATGACATATTGAACTTGATATTGAAATGCAATTGTACATCACATTTGCATATCCACAGGAAATGTAGCATTTGTGGGTATGTGACATTATTGTGGGTGTTTGCACGGTCTTGATCAAACATCACTATTGGTAGATAATGCATGGGCTCGGAAAAGTTGGACCAATGTTAAACTGAGTCACACAGGTTGAATTAAAAATAGGGTCAGGGTTAGCAAGAAGGATAGACTATCCCTTAGGTACAAGACCCGGTGATTTTGGATACCCACTCCATTGGTATCGAGTCCATAAAGCGTGTCACCGTACGTGGAGCCGTTGGAGGAAGTCTATGAATGTCGTGTCGGTTAGATACCCGTTGGAGTAAGTCCATAAATACCCACCCCAAGAAAGATATGGGATTGTTGTTGATTGTTAAACTGCATGTGAGCATTTCATATGCATTTAGGTTGTTGAGTAGCCTCTTTAAGGGATGCACTATTGAGCGTGACTCACTCTTTATGAGGACAACATTTCAGGTGTGAGACATGTGCCGGTGGAGGTTTACCATTATCCGACTAGTGGTGGTGGCATCCGGAAAGTAGCTAAACCAACTTAATTCTCTCTCCTCCTCCCATTGGTCCAAAAATGTAGCAAGCCCTTTGATTGACTAGCCTCGATTATTCCACCTCAAGTCTTTCCTCCAATGCCAATAAATAGTCCGATTTAGCTTTAGTTTCAAGAGTTCATAGAGAGAGGTCAGAGGGTTCTTCGGATAATCAATTCAGACAATGAGGAAAGATAGGAAGAGAGAAATTGAGAAGCGAAGCCTTGCCAAACCACTTTCCAACCAGAATCTATGTACATCTTTTTTACTTGGAGGGTTGAACCTTTCTCACTTTTTTCCCCTGAGCAGTAATAAGGGTGGTAGTGTTTTAGCTATTCCTTAGGGAAGGATTTTTTTTGTCTTTTGATTTATTGTAATGAGGATACTTCACCCCTCTTGCTCGTCTCTAGAAATGAAGTGTGAGTAGTCCATTTATAACCTTCGGTGAACGGTGAACCCATGTGTAATACTATTTAAGTTATGGAAATGTGGATATTCTAATTATGTTTTAATGTTTATACCAACCTTAATTGATGGATGGTTACGGCATTTAATGGACACCTCCCGAAAATCCGCCAAGCAATACATGTATCCCATTCTTCTAAACGGTCATTTAATGCCACTTTGTGATGGCTGCGCAAGAGTAGGGGCACCTTTGTCCATTGGCCCCCAATTCTATGTANCATTTAATGGACACCTCCCGAAAATCCGCCAAGCAATACATGTATCCCATTCTTCTCAACGGTCATTTAATGCCACTTTGTGATGGCTGCGCAAGAGTAGGGGCACCTTTGTCCATTGGCCCCCAATTCTATGTACTATACCTCGTGTATCACTATTACTTGTTAATGACATGTTCTTTCTACCATTTTGACTATTTTGGGAAGGTGAATCAATGATAATTGACCAATTTTAACTCCGAGTAACGATAATTGCCAATCCACCATTCATACTTCAGGGGTTCAGGAGCTGAGGTGACGTGTCTTGTATGGGACCTAGGGGCGTTTGGCACGCCGAAGACACGTGGCATCATACCAATGCTCAAAGGGTCCCTGATACCGAAGACACATGTCAAGATAGAGGAGGTTCCCGAGAGAGATTCATGCCGAGGACACGCATCAGATGTAGAGAATTCTGAGAGAGAAACATGTCGAGGACACGTGCCAGATGTGGAAGGCGCCGAGGGAGATATGCGCCGAGAACACGTGTCACTCTCATGGGTTTTCGAGGGGAACCAACGCCAAGGTCACCTGACAGTTTGCAGTGTATCCACGTCAGCCATGCCGAGGACACATGTCGGCTCACTATTGATTCCCATAAACGTCCCATCAGCTATGATTCTCGGGAATGAAACTAGCTTTAAACATAAGTACATAACCCTTTGATTTATCATTGGACGTGCCCGCTCAAGGTTTCACTTTTAAAGATGACAACGAAAATGGGACTACCCACAGAAGGAGAAATTTATCGCCTACTTTTTTTTCGGTAGGTTTTGTCACCTACCACCCACGTAGACCTGAACTAGGTGAATTTCCTTGATGAAAATATTTCGCGCCCCCACCTACACACATAAAACTCACCACAGAGATATATAGTCATTGGAACATAAGTCGAACCAAGAAAAAAACTTCATTACTCCATGTATCGGTTTGAAGAGTTCAGTTACTATCGTCGGCCATTAAGGACGTCGCCAATTTTATTTTATTTTTAGTGGATATTTTAACTACAAGGTTTAATTATTTTTCTTCCAACTGATGAAAGTAAAATAATCATATTATTTTGATTATATCATAATTGATATATAAAAAATTGTAGAACTCAAAAGAACAAAAAATCAATATATGGACTAATTATAACCCTTTACAACAAATTTATAATTGACCAGAACTTGTATATGTGAAGACATTGTATGGAACTTCATTGTTAATGTCATCGAAAATATATTTCTTTATATGTAATCAAGTGAACAGTCATTCATTGATATCAATTCGATTATGCAGTTGAATTCTCAGTCTTTGTTTTTAATTTATGAAACAAAAGTAAGCTGTGAAAAAATAGAAATAGTAAGCCATAGAGAAATAAGGACAATAAGTCATAGGAATAATGGCTAATTATAGATTAATTTTAAATGATTTTAATTTTAAATAAAGAACGTAAATCTAAAAAAAAACTTATAAATATATAATGAAAGTCAATTGAAGAATGTCTTCATAGTATATGTAATTATTGATCAAGCATAACTCATATTGTCATAACATACTTTCAAAAATAAAAGTGATAGAGTAGGTACCACAAAATATATTATAATAATTTTTAAATTTATGTAGCTCCAACACATAAATTTTTTTTAAAAAATTGTAGATGAGTCCGTGCCTACTCTAGCCCCTTATTAGATTCGCCTATATCAACCATTTAGTCGATACAATTGTGTAGATATAAAAGGTCAATCACATGAGCACATGTAGAATATTCCAAACTAGACAAAAAACTTATACATACCGAATATAATCATAGTTACGTTAAATTGTCATTTGTCACACTATCATAACAAGGATTATGCTATGGTAGTGAACCGAAATTCATCTTAGTACAGGAATCGGACTCTGGCAACAAATACACCTAGCTACAAAGATTCTTTAGGACACTTGAGACTTGACACTTGACAGACACTAGCAAGCAGTTCATTCGATCACGACAAAGCACTGAGGGGCCTGCCATCAGGGGAATATCTGCTAGAAGAAAATAAAACCCACCCTCCTAGGATAGGTGAAACCTACAACATGAAGAACTCGCAATTAGCTAGGGATATTATTGGGGATATATCACAGTATCGAAAATAATTTTTTTATATAGTATTTTTTTTAGTCCAATTGAAATATGACACACATAATATTTTTATTTTATCTTATCATTTTTACAGTCAACAATCACAATTAAATCAAAGATTAATGACTTAAATAAGTGTTATCAAAACCGAACATGACCGACAGTCAAACTAGTGAACTGATGACCTAGATCCTAAACTAGTCCGGTACAATTCTTAGATCGCCTCTACAATTGACCCGCCAATGAACCATCAAAACTAGCTAATTCTCGAAAGAAACAATCAAGCCAAGCCATTTTCATAAACCCGGGCATTTCTAATTTTGTGCAATAAAAACCTTATGTAGGCCCAAAATTGCTCTCATAAATACACTAGTGTCGGCATGGATGACATGCTTTTGATCAGATCGAAAATGAGATTAGTTGAGTCCATAAACTAGTGTCAGTCCTTCAATCAATTTTTTAAAGTGATTTCGCACTGTTTACAAGTTTTAGTTCTATCCATATGTTTCTTACAAAACAAAACTAATAGAGAATTACTTGAGACCCCTTTTATATTTATAATTAAAATTTATTCATCTAGTATTTTCACATACATAATTATTATGTATTTGTATTGAAAATTTTCTTAATATATCATTTTCAATTGATAGTATGAGGAATCTAATTAATCTTTCTTGTGACAAAATCAATCTTAAGTAACATTCTATTAGTTGTGATACTAAATTATTTTTCTTGCATAAACAACCATTACTTTCAGTACTATAATGTAAATAATATTCCATAGATGTGGAAAAGAGTATACTCTTCTTATATAGTTTAATTAGTACCTTAATTAGAAAATATGTTATTTGAGTGCTAAAAATACAGAGGGGAAGTGGCCACGTTGATGATGTTTCTAGTTTTGTATAGTTTACACGACAAAAACACATTGTTTTGGGAAAAACAAATAGGTGCAGAACCAATCACTTAATTTTTTAGATCAAATATAATTGTTGATTGATCTAACCTTGGATATTTTTTATTAGACTTACCTTTGTAGGGAATTTTTTGTGGGACTTAGACTTTGTTGAGCTTCAAACTCTCAACTAGACTATATATCATAGACATACCGAACTTATGGAGACTTCTTTATGATGAGTGGAGCTTAAAACCATTACTTTCATAACTTAAGGTTTTAGCCATCCATGCAGAAGATGCAACAAGTCAGTTTTTGAAAAGACAATACCCATTCTAGCAATCAAATCTTAAGTCATCGAATTTTAAAATTTAAAGGTCAGCCCCTAACTTCTTTGGATTGTTTTGTTACACCAGGGTAGTCCCTTTACCGCAGATAACTTTTTTTTTTTTAATAAGAATTCTCACATTTACTCTCAAAAAATAAATTTTTTGCATTGCACCTTTTATGTTTAATAGTGTTATAATGTGGATTTTTTCTTATATTTCGTTACTTATTCCATCAAAAACTATCCCATTGAAATAAAAAATGAAAGATCACAGAGGGCCAAATAGCAATATATTTAGTATATTAACGATACAATATAAAAAATTTAATTTTTAGAGTCTAAAACAGAAATTCTTAAATCTTTTGAGCTAAAAAGTATAATTCCCGCAAACTAATTTGATGCAGTTATTTTTTGTGGTGTCATTTAACATAACAAAATGATATTATGCAATATTATATCAAATACTAGAATTGAACAGCTTTACAATACATTTTGTAAAAATACAAATTTTCTTGTGTTTAAACAACCAAAATAATTAAGTAACATGCTTCAAATTTGTAAGCTGCAATTCTTCCTATATAAGTAACTATATTTGAGTTACAAAAATTATTTAAAAAATTGCTAGTGAAGTAAAAATTTCTCAAATGTACGATTATTACTTCATATATATATATTTATTGAGGTGACGATTGCTCATATGTCATAGTGATTGCCACGTTAAAGAAATATCACTTCAAGGGAATGAAATGGTATCCTGGACCTGCACCATTGATACTAAGATTCTTAAAATAAAGTGGTAAATTGACATATATAACAAAAATGATCTAGAATGTCCTGTTTTTGTATCAACTTTATAATAATCAGAACTTCATAGTATAGCTTAAAATAACGTATACAATAGGCATTACGCCCTCTATCCTCCTTCGAATGTTTTCCTCCATCTTTTTTACTTTTTACTTTTGTTTTTCCAATGAAAGGTGTACAACTATTCTGTGCGTCTACTATAATGTTATATTCCTTATAGTAAAGTATTGGTCGGTAATAGAATGCTCTATTCCTTGTATTAAAGTTTCGGTGACCAATCTAAAACCTATGACCATCTTTTATATATTTTTCTGTGTATAGAGCACATCGTTCAATGAAAGTAAAGGACTTCAATGTTATTGAATTAGTTGTAGACTTGGGAACCAACACATTCTTTGGGAAAACTCTGAGAAAAAGAAATGTTGGGAGAACAATAAACGAAGGGCAAAACACAATGGCATCCCGGTTAGTTTTTTAATTCCCAAATATACCTTAATAGTTTATTTTTTCTATAACTCTGATGCGCCTATCAGATTTATTTGCAATGTGGTGATCAGACCTCATCCACCTATCATATCTTATAGATAAAAAATTTGGAATATTACGGTGGCATTAGGGATAAAATATGAAATAAAGAGAAAATGTACTTCTTAAATAAATATTGTGACGTCCCTAAAACCGGGGATCCTTTGTCAACTTGTTGATCTCTCATCAACCTGTGGAAGTATCCATGAATGTCACATAATCCGACACCACATTATAATATTTATTTCACCAGAATCATAAACAATATAGAGTTTGGACAAAATCTCCTCTGTACCGGACACTCCCAAATGCATAAGTTGTATACGTTTCAATCACTTGATCAATCCAATATCCAATATACATCAATTTTTCCTTAATATTACTCCATTTACATCTTTTGAAGAAAAGGACTCAAGCCCCGAATGCTTGGCAAAGCTATTTTAAATTTTTTAAAATTTTGGAGGAGCTACCAACTGCTCGTGTACGTGCTACCGGTAGCTCTGTCCTCTAGAATTGTGCTATTGGTAGCTCAAGACTTGCTACCGATAGATGAGCCCAATTTTTTTCCAAATTCAATCCTTTTTTCAATTTCAACTCATCTAGTCTTATATAACATTCACCCAACTCATATAACATCAAATTATACTTAAAATATAGTCCATAAAGTTTCATTACACAACCCTTTAAACAATATTACATGTCCCAAAAACTAATTACACAATTATTTTACAAAACGTAATTTAAAGCCACAACTTAGCTTTCTTCATCAACAAGCGGCCAAGTGAGATTCATCCACCGGCACTTATTCCGCACCTGAAATGTTGTCACCATAAAGGTTGAGCTACGCTCAATATGGTATCTCCTAAAGAGGCTACTTCCCAACCTAGATGCAAATGAAATGCTCGCATGCATTTCAAAAAACAAACAAACATTCATCCAAAAACATACATGTCATAGCATTGTGAAATGTTGTCACAATGCTATGGCATGTTATGAGGTAAGACTCA